CATTTGAAATCGCTCTCCAAAGAGGTAATGGTCAGCCTCTCTCCAACTTTAAATTGAAAAGGTTTTTTTTTTTTTTTTTTGGTCTTTTGTTTTGCTTTATAGCCGAGGACTCTGATGAACAGTTTCACAACCAAACAAAAAGATCCTATTCTTGCTCAGGGTGTACTGAAGTCAGCTTTTTCCAGATGCAGTTGGGAGTCTGGAAGCCTGGTCAAAGCTCTCATTGTATTCTCAATACAAGCATTTGTAGGCGATTGGCACTAGCACGGTCACCAATAACCCGTCCTTGCACAGGAGCCAAAACCAAATGGGATGAAGCTGAATTCACTGTACTGTACTGAGGCTCACATGGATGGCCAGCAACAGGTCTCTCCAATTTACTGTGTTTGAGCCAACAGTTTATCTATATACTGCCTTATCTATCTTATTCCTTACTAGCACTGATGATGTTACCTAGTTAGGGTCATGAAACGTCTGCAAGTAAACAACCAAACTCACAGAGCAGCAAGGACCCCCCATCCATCCATCCATCCATCCAAGTCTAAAATTAAGGGTAAAGGTTTCTCCTGTCCAGGTGTGTCTGAGTCTAGGGGGCGGTGTTCATCTCTGTTTCTTAACTGAAGGCAGGGGTGGTATTCACTTAGCTTTGCTACAGGTTCGCAAATGTGAGCACGCGCAAACTTGCTTCGCTCGCATGTGCCACCTTTGCGCATGCACAGGGCCTTCTGTGCATGTGCAGAGCATCAAAAATGGGATGTGATGATGTCTGGGTGGGTGGGCGGAGCCTCCCGCAGCCGCCGCTACCAGTTCGCGCGAACCGGATACAAACGGCTGAATACCACCACTGGCTAAAGGGAGCCAGCATTATCCGAGGACACTTCCATGGTTATGTAGCCAGCATGAATTTATGCTGAGGTGCATAGCATGCTATTACTTTCCCATCAAAGTGGTACTATTTTATCTACTTGCATTTGCATGCTTTCTGTTGCATGATGTTTGGATACTGAACCCAGCTATCAGCTTTCAGCTGACAAAATGGCTCAGCATCTTTAACAACTGAGTGATCATGCCTCCATATCTATCTATCTATCTATCTATCTATCTATCTATCTATCTTCATTCCCTATGCCATTCATCTGGTAAGCTTGCAAGATGCTTTTTTCTTGCCATGTACATGTATACATCCAAACAAGACTGTGCTGTTTCTCTGTGTCATAATTTTGTGTTTATTTTGCCATGTGAATGTAGTGTATATTGGAGGTGGTGACCGTTTGAGAGCTGTATGCAACGAAATTTCATTTTAATGTATGCCGATTAGTGTATATTTCAAAATGACAAACTATTCTATTCTATTCTATTCTCTTCTCTATTCCCATTCTCTATTCTATTCTATTCTATTCTATTTTATTCTATTCTCTCTTCTCTTCTCTATTCCCATTCTCTATTCTATTCTATTCTATTCTCTCTCTCTATTCCCATTCTCTATTCTATTCTATTCTATTCTATTCTATTCTATTCTCTATTCTCTTCTCTATTCCCATTCTCTATTCTATTCTCTTCTCTTCTCTTCTCTATTCCCATTCTCTATTCTATTCTATTCTATTCTATTCTATTCTATTCTATGTCTAGTCTAGTCTAGTCTATTCTCTATTCCCATTCTCTCTTCTCTTCTCTATTCCCATTCTCTATTCTATGTCTAGTCTAGTCTATTCTCTATTCCCATTCTCTCTTCTCTTCTCTATTCCCATTCTCTATTCTATTCTATTCTATTCTATTCTATTCTATTCTATTCTATTCTATTCTATGTCTAGTCTATTCTCTATTCCCATTCTCTCTTCTCTTCTCTATTCCCATTCTCTATTCTATTCTCTCTTCTCTATTCCCATTCTCTATTCTATTCTATTCTATTCTCTCTTCTCTATTCTATTCTATTCTATTCTATTCTATTCTATTCTATGTCTAGTCTAGTCTTATTCTCTATTCCCATTCTCTCTTCTCTTCTCTATTCCCATTCTCTAGTCTAGTCTAGTCTAGTCTAGTCTAGTCTAGTCTAGTCTATTCTCACTCTGTCTAGTTTAGAATCCGCCCATCTTGCTCACATAAAATCTGCACATAAGAGGCAAGGACAGTTAAAAGTTCATCCTTACAAATTAATTCAAAGGCTGGGAGCTGCCTTCAGGATGCTAACCAGCCCCACAGGGTGGTTCTTCTGACCTCCCCACGAAGCCGCAGAGCCACATTTTCACTCCTTTGCCGAAGGCCAGGCGACTGACTGACTGACTGCCAGATTGGATCAGCCAGGCAGATCCTACGGGAGACGGTCAGCATTGTTAATGCCACCGATGATTGTTAATCCCTTTTTTCCAGCAGCTACAAGGTGAAATACCAGATCGTGTTTCACCTTCATTAGCATATCAACTGCATTTCACACCCCACAGACCTTGCTTGAAGGCTCAGGCGCTATTTTAGCAGGGCAGGTTTTGCCCCCCCCCCCCGCCCCAAGGGGCGCGCAGCTGGAACCCAGGCCATCTTAAGGACCCCTCTCCAAAGCCCACCTCCCCGCTGCTGGGGGAAAGCCTTCCCCCGATTATTATTTATTGGTGGCAGGAGACCAACTTCTGCCACCAATAGCCTCCCACCGGCCAGTCCGCTCCCACAGAGAGGGTCTCCTCAGGGTGCCATCGGCCAAGTTATGTCGGCTGGCGACACCCAGGGGGAGGGCCTTCTCTGTGGGAGCCCCAGCCCTGTGGAATGAACTGCCCCCGGAAATACGTAAGATCTCCGACCTCCGGGTATTTCGCTGTGCACTGAAGACCCTGTTTTTCCGCCAGGCCGGGCTATCGACATGATAATTTTAAATTGGGATATTTTAAATTTCTGGGGTTTTAAATGGAGCCAAATGTATTTAATAATTTTAAATTGATGTTTGTCTTGTGTTTTTAAATAGGCTGTATACCGCCCTGAGTCCTTCGGGAGAAGGGCGGTATAGAAATAAAATTATTATTTATTGGTTAATCTTTAGTGAGATTCACAGCCTTTGAGGCTGGTTAATAGCTCAGCAGCTCGAGTCCTAACCAAGGACCTAGGAACTGTTAAGGTATCGTCGGAGGATGTAAGCTGTTCCGAGTAAGGTGGTTTTTTGTAGAGTCAAAATGTTCAAGTCCGGCAAATTTAGGATTTCTAAATAGCGGGGTAGCCCTTTGGGTATTGCTCCGAGGGCTCCAATTACAATCGGGACAACACACAATTTCTTTTTCCACAGTCGCTCAACTTCAATTTGTAAGTCCCGGTACTTTGTGATTTTTTCTTGCTGCTTATCTTCAATTCGTGCATCACCAGGTATTGCAATGTCAATGAACCATACTTTTTTCTTTTCAACTATTGTTATGTCAGGTGTGTTGTGGACCAAGTGCCTGTCAGTCTGAATCCTAAAGTCCCACAAGATCTTGAGTTTCTCATTCTCTAAAACTTTCTCAACCTGATGTTCCCAGTGGTTTTTGCTGTACTCAAATCCAAACTTCTGGCACAATTTCCAGTGAATGATTTTAGCAACACGGTCATGGCGTTGTAGGTAGTCAGTTTGTGAAATTTTGCTGCACCCACTGATCAGGTGGTCAACTGTCTCATCTTTCTCATTGCAGAGGCGGCATTTGCTGTTGGTGGTAACATGTTGAATTTTTGCCTTCATACAGTTTGTGGCTAGGGCTTGTTCTTGAGCTGCCAAAATAAAGCTTTCTTTTTCTTTTTTCAGTACTCCTGATCTTAACCAGTTCCAAGTTAGTTTCTGGTCAGCTTTGCCTTCAATACTTTTCAAGTATTGGCCATGCAGAGCTTTGTGTTTCCAATTTTCAGCTCGCTGCTCAATTACTTCTTTCTTATATTCTGCTTTTGTTTTAGTTGACTTTAAAAGGCCTCCTTTATTTACTTCCTTAATCAATAATAATAATAATAATAATAATAATAATAATAATAATAATAATAATAATAATATTTAAATTTGTATACCGCCCTTCTCCTGAAGGACTCAGGGCGGTGCACAGCCAAAATTAAAATACACATACAATACAAAATTTAAAATCATTTAAAAGCAGAATTAAATCGAATTGGCTTCCCGAAACATTAAAGCCCGTTACCCTTAAAATAACCCATTAAAATGTTAAGCCAGCATTCGTGGAGGAGGAGGGGGCGGGGGGGGGGCATCTTTTCCCTCGGCGTTGCTGCGGTCTTTCCATTTTGCGTCGTGAAACCTAGTGCACTTTTTCCAAAGGGAGCAGCTCTTCTGAATCCAGGCACAGAAACCGATCCCCCAAAACAAAGGCCGGCTGCCTTCATCTCCCTCCAATCGGGGGTGCAAATGCAGCCTACCCAGAAGAGGCAGCCCATCCCCGCCAGCCCTTCCTTCCCCGTGGCAGGGGCGAAGCCAGGCAGCCGCCCACCAAGCACCCCCGCCGGGCTGGCTACCCAGATCCAAGAGCCGGAGACTCGGCCGGCTCGGGGAGTTTTGCAGCCCCGCGGGGACCCCCCTCAAAGCCCATCCCGGGTCTCGGCGCGGCTGCCAACATGGCCCCCACCCAGCCCCGCCCCGCAGGCTGCAAAGCCAGCGCCGGGCCCCGCCCCCGTGGGGCGCGCGGGGGGCGTGGCCGGCCAGGCGAGCAAGCGAGCGAGCGAGGGGGGGGCGTGGCCAGCGGCCTGAGGCGCGTCGCGGCCCGCCGGTCACATGACGCGCCGCCATTTTGTCTGGCGCGGGCGCGGGCCTCTGAGGTGAGGAGGCAGCGGCGGCGGCGGCGGCGGTGCCGACAGGCCGGACGGGGCGGAGGTCTGGCCGGCCGGGAGCCGCGTCGACGTCGTTGCCCGCGAGAGAAGAGAGAGAGGGGAGAAGGAGAAGAGGAGAGGCCGGAGGGAAGCGGACAGGGCCATCCCTCGGCTCAGCCTGGGCTGCACGGCGGCTGGGCCGGGCTTGGCGGCGCTCCGCCCCGCGGCCTGCCTGCCGCCGCCGCTCCTCCTCCTTCTCCTGCTGCTGCCGCCGCCGCCTTGCGCCGTCGGGGAAGTCCTCCGCTGCTGAGGGGCCGCCGGAGCCGAGCTGGGAAGGGAACGCCGCCGCCGCCGCCGCCGTCATGTCGGGCCAGTCGATCACCGACCGGATCACGGCGGCGCAGCACAGCGTCACCGGCTCGGCCATCGCCAAGGCCGTCTGCAAGGCCACCACCCACGAAGTCATGGGCCCCAAGAAGAAGCACCTCGACTGTGAGTGCGGGGGGGCGGGGCGGGGAGGGATAGTGGCTGCCGAACACGCGTGTGCATTCCCACGTTCCTCCCGCGCTCTCTCTCCCCCGTGTCGGGGCCCAGCGTGGGGTTCCGTAGCCGCTCTCCGATTTTCCCTAGGGTTGGGTGGCGGCTCGTCCTGACCGGACTAACCAAGGCTTAGTCAGGCCCAGCGGCCGGGTTTCTGCTGCGTTTTTGGGCCCCTGTCCAGAACAATGGGGGGCTGGGGGCTCGGATGGTGGGGGGGAGGGGTGTTTCTGGAAAAGCTGTGCTTGGGCAGCCCCCCCCACCCCCCGCCAGCCTCTCCATGGGCCAGGTGGGTAAAATGGGTTAATGGCTGGGCTGCACGGATTGACAAGAACGGCTTGGATGGGGGATCGAACCCAATTCTCCCAATTTTGCAGGAAGGATTCAGATGGAGTGTGTGACAGGCAGAGATTTTAGTTTCCTCTTTTTCCTCGCCTCTGGAAGACTAACTCCCTTCTCCTTTGGTCAGATGCTGAGGGTTCCCCCTGATGTAATGACCTGCGGGAGTCTGTAACCTCTCAGTCCTGGCTTGCTGGCATCCTGGGTTGTGCTGGGTTGTTGGCATCCCTTCCTTGGGCTGCATTGCCAATTGAGGGATAGGATCTCTATTGTAGCAGTTGTCCAAAAAGTATCTGGGTATGGAGCTACGCACACTAGGCCATCTTTTCAGATCCAAATCACAATATGTCATATTTAACTTCTTTCGGCTCTACCTCTACTTGCCTACCTTGGAAAGTAGTGTAACTGTTTGGCAAAAGGTTTTATTTTAATTGTCAGCTAAAGAAAAGAGTGGAAGGAAGGAAGCATCAGGTGATAAAGACTCTGCCTGGAGTCCTGAAGAGCTGATACCAGTTATTGAGGATGGGATAGTGCTCTGGGTTAAATGGAAAAATCAATAGCTTTGGGTTAATCAGATGGCTTCCAGTCCTTATCTTTCTTGGATGAGTAGGTGCAAAGGTGATCAGCAAGACTGCTTCACAGTTGGGGACAACAAAAGAGGTGCAGTTTGCCAGGCAGGGTCGAAGGGCTGAAGCTGCTTTAGAATAAACCTGTGAGCAAGCATGATTAAACACATGAGTTGTTACCACTTTGATGAGTCCTGACCAGCCCTTAGAGAAGGTTAAAGAGAAGGTGTGAATCAAGTTAAATGTTCCTGTCTTACGGGATCAGTAATATTCTGCTGCCCTTTAGAAGAACAACTATCTGTGTTAGGTTAATGGGGTGGGGAATTGCTATTTTAGCTTTGTTTTTAAAAAAAGCAAACACCAAAATATATAAAAGAGTAACAGTTTTATTTCCTGAGTTTCTTCGTTTCCTCCCATCTCTTTGTGGTACAAATAAACATGCCTCTTCCAAATAACTCAAATGTAAAGAAGACATATTTTAAATGTGAATTACTTGGAAGAGGCATACTTATTTGTACCACAAATAAACATGCCTCTTCCAAGTAACTCAAATTTAAAATGTGTCTTCTGTAAGAGATCAAGTAAGCAGGTCCAGTAACTCTTGTCATAATACAACTGCCTCCAAATAAAGGACATTCTTGACCTAATGATCTGAGGTCTAAAGCCTTCTATTAACATGTCAACCAGATAAGATAAGGTGGTGTGGTTCTGGGCTTTCAGAGCTCACCAACAACTGAACAATTCAGTTGTTCAGGCTTGCTTTTTATATAGTAGTTAAAAATTGCCTCCTTGGAAGAAGAGTTTTTATTTTATGCTAGAAGATTGCAGGAGAAAGTGTTTCTTGGAATCAATATGGAACTACTAAACATTATAGTAATAATAATATAAGGCATTATTATACATGCACAGTCAGTCAGATACTTTGGCTGGATTTAGTATTTTTATCCACCTATTGTGTTTTTCCCCAGGACCCAGTGTGATAGACAGATATTGTTGTTTAATAATATTAAAGCTTATATCACAAGATGTAGACTGTTCCAAATAAATCTGCCATTGGCAATTTTGATGGTGATTTTGTGAATGCTGATGGCATTCAAGTGGTGTTCCAGATGTTTTGCACCCAAGTCATCTATTGGTACTTTCTTTGCTTTGCCATAGCCCTCTATTTTGATCTGCAATTTTTTTTTTTTTTTGGTATTTTGGGATTTTTCTCCAGTTTTTTTGTTCTGCTGTTTCCAAGTACTGCCACGTCCACTATCCAGACTTTTTTTTGCCTTTCTTAGCAATTGTTAAGTCTGTCGTATGGCATATGCTTATCTGTCCCAGAGCTCTTTGGCTTTTTCATTTTCTATTACTTCTTCTACTTTGTGTTCTCACCAGTTCTTGCAGCCAAGTAGTATTTCTGGCAGATATTCCAATGCACCGTTGTTGCTACCTTTCTTATTTGGTTCTTTGTTATAAAGCTGAGCAATGATCTTGCATTATTTTATTATGGTTATGGTTGAAGTCAGCCACATATTTATAGGAGATTTGGCATTTTTATCCAGCTATCATTATTATTATTTTTAAAAAGCTTCATTCTGGCTGCCTCCATGCAGTTATTTTGACAGCATTAAGAAAGTGGCTTAACCTTGCTTTAATCCAGAATGTTTTTGTTTATTTCCAAATGTAGCCAACAGCCTGGGATTCGCTGGTTGGCCCCATTCAAATGCTAACTGGGGCCAACCCTGCTTAGCTTCTAGGATTAAGCAAGGACAAGTAGTAAACCAAAGATCTGAGCCCAGTAATATTACTTTGCAATTTAGTAAGCAACATAGATAATAAATTATTGACTAATCAGGAATTTTCTAGTTGCTCTTTGGAATTATGCTGATATTAAATGCAGTCCCAGGGCATGTACTTTTATTGAAACTTTGACTCTTCCTTTCTGTATTTTCCTGTTATAATGGAGCAAAAGTTATAGTGCAGCATTAAGTTTGCATCACTTTGACTTTCTAAAGAAATGTTTATTTCACAGTATGAAACAGATGTCATTCTCATGTTTTATTCTGCAAAAAGGCACATTGTAAGAAGCATCTGCTTTTACTCTTTGATGTTGCATATAGAAATATGTACACTTTTATTTGTATTTATTTAAGGCTTACATTTTTTTTGAGACAATACTACCTGTTCTATACTCTCCTAGCAACAAGTTTACTTTGTCACTAAAGCATGCATGCATCATCTGCAGTGCAATTAGCAGTGCTAATATGAGAATGTTATTTCCTAATCTTTCAGCTTGCCTGAGTGTTGCTGATTATAGAATTGTGGTTGTTGTAATAGAAGATGCTAGCCTAGAAAAAACTACTTGACATATAGGTGCATTATTTACTCTGGAGAACTATATTTAAGCCATACATGCTAATGTTTATTTACTTTCAGAAAGGTAACAGAGATCAGTTGTTTAGTTCTAGAAGGATAATTGTTGTAGGAGCAGCAAAGTCTTATGGCACCTAAAAACTTATTGCTTCTTCAAACTTGCTTGGACGTTTCATCTCTACTAACTACAGTCCCAAGATATTTTTCATTTATAGTCTGTAGATATTTTGTATGTCTTCTGGTTTTTACTTCCTGTTCAGATGTCAGCTTAAAATCAGTAAACTCAATTGTACAAGGAAGTTAGGAAGTGAACAACAGGACAGGGTTGCTCAATAACATTGAAAATGATGATATTTTTAAAAAGAAAATAGATTTAATCTATTGCAGCAGTTGTTCAAATGAGTTCCACTACATTCATTTAAGCATTATGTCTGCCATAGTGCAAAGAAAGAATTAAATTCAAGAAGGCATGTGAAATGCTTGTTTGATTTTTGTTCAGTATGGTAGGAAAAATCTATACAATGCTGCTAAATTCATCCCGTTTCTTTTGTTTGGAAAATGTCTTATTTAATGGTGAGAATGTAAGGTAAACTGATGTGAAATTGAATGACATCATTGGATGTTCATAGTACAAAAAGGTTAACAAATGCCTCCATGCTGGGTTCCTATACTTATGTTTAAAAATGTCCTGTACTGCTGCTTTTGTTGCCTTGAATTCCTTTTACAGCACAGGGATAGAGTAATATATATATTTTAAAAAAGCATTGCCAGTGCTGTATTTAAATTTTTCCCCCTTCTTTGTGTTCCTGCACATAACAGTAGCTAGGATTTATGAACATTCCTTCATTCTTCAATTTTTTTACAGCAGTAAAGATTATTAAAGTAGCATTCTGGAGGATAAGTGAAAAGTAATATAATTTAAGAGCAGAAAGTACCGTAGGTTTTGATCAGAAGACAAACAAAATTCAGAATGCTCCCGTTCAATTCACTTCAGGTCATAGACTTTCAGATCATATACTAGCTCTCGTGCTCATTAAGTATTGCCTCTGCATATTACATGTGCATTGATTTAAAGCAAGGAATTTATTATTTATAGCAGGGGCAAAAGTCTGATTAAACTGAGTATAATGTCCCAATATTGACTGTTGCATTTCCTAGTCGGTCATTCACACTAGTTGCTTTAAATTACATTATATGTTGTTTCATTCTTGCATCTTTGTTGCATTGTTTACATTTCAAGCTATCAGTTTTTCCTAGGATTAGTATCCTAGCATTAATTATGAAAATATAGAAGCCAGTAGTGCAAGTATGTATTTGTTAAACAAATTGTGTTATGATTCAGTATGGTGATAAATCACAGTGACTCCATTCACATATTGTATTAGGCCAAACCAAATTAATTACGTTATGTCTTACATGATATATATATAAGATCCATATATCCAAGATATATATATATATCTTACTAATGTATAATGTGGTTTCTTAGCATTTTCAATTGTGCAAACCCTGACATCATTTGGCACAATATAGGAGTTTAATCACTGTGGCTCAGCTGATGGTGGCCCAAAGAACAAAATAATATCATACTGTGCTTTATATCGCGGAGTGTCTGCTACCTCTCAATTTGAGTGATTTAGAGCATTTATGTTTATAATATGATAAATATAGAAACACATGCTCAAACTAGTG